TGGTGGTTGTGGAGGTAGTGAATGTGGTGGTGCAAGTGGTGGAGTTGGATGTGGAAGTGGAGGTGGTGTCATTTTTAAAAAATGAATGATGGTATTTTGGGAATTTAAAAAATTCATTAAATGTTCATTTCTGCTTCTTTTGAAAGCAGCTTTGAAAAGCAACCCAGAGTCTGCTTTTAAAAGCTGCTGTCAAAAGGCCACTGCTTTTAAAATAATCGGGATATTTTATTTTTACCAAACACCTTAAACTGCTTAACTTTAAAGTGAAGTTGGTTTTTGGCCAAAAAAAGCAATCTCAAACGGGGCCTAAGCCTTAACCACAACCCAGACTAATCCCCGCTCACACCGGGTCGGCCCGTAAGGGGTAAAGTGCTGGCCAAAGTGGTGACTCCATACAAGAGCAGAGATCGAACCCCTGACCTCTCTTAAGGAATTAGAGTGCCGAACCACTCACACCAACCACCTAACCACCTTGGTTGAAATGCTTACTTTTGGATAAACAAAAAGAACATCACAAATGGGTGATGGTACAACACGACGTCAAATTCCATTGATTAATTTGACGTAAATTACAATTTTGACTTTCTTTGCAAATCAAACAAGGCTACCAAGACTAAAATTGATCATAGTGAAATAAGATGAACCATAGTTAAAAAAAATGAATCAAACAATATGGGCCAAACATGTAATTCAACTAATTTACAAAGGGCAAGTAAGTGAATAATAAAATTTAACTATAGTAAGTCTTTGAAAAAAAAAAAAAAACAAGTTTATATATATACATATATAGATCTTATAGCATCCTTTCTTGATGTTGTTGCAACACTTACATGAAGACCATATATAAATAAGACTGGCATGACGAACAACACACGATTATAATGAAATTAAGAGTAAAGTATCTTAAAATACGGATGACTATTGTGAATTTATTAAATAAGTAATAATGATTTATGACAAACAACAAATGCTTCAACAATTTTGCAACTACATGAAATTGAGATATTGGGAGAAACTAATTTGAAGTTTTTATTGAAATTGATCATTGTTTATCATATTTGATGTGCTAGGCATAATCAAGGATCATATTCAAATAAAGCGTGTATTTAATTCAAATGTTAATTTGCATTTGAATTTGGGTATCGGAATAAACAAAGTCACCCATTTGGTTGTAAGGTGAACAAACTGGATTTGCATTTAAGCCAAACCCACTTTTTTTTTTATAGAAAATATGGTATTTCATTCAATTGAAAGGAACATTACAAGGTAAGAATTGGATGTTAACGGCGGCCTCGTTAAATCCTTCCCAGAGAAACAAAATCCCGGAGTAGGAAAGAGTACCACCCATTTTATTGACTAAACAGAAAAGTCAAACAACTTATACCAAACAAACCAACCTAAACCCCAACCACAAAACCCTTAAAACAACATCTCATCACTACATAGCTACTATCAAAGAAGTCCTCCTATGATCTAGAAAAAGCATCATAGTTCTTCGTACAGAGTAAAAAACGTACTATGGGTATCATAATAGATCCAGCCAATCACCTAACCACAAAACCATTGAAACACATCCCATCACTACGCAGATACTGTCAAAGAAAGCCTCCTATGATCTAAAGAAAGCATCATAGTTCTTCATACATAGTCAAAAATGTATCGTGAGCATTATAACAGATCCAGCCAAATACCAGCCGCCACCTCCAATTTTCTTGATCCAGAACCCCAGCTGACAAGCAAGGAAGACCAAGATTGGCCTCTTAGCCTAAAGAAAATTTTAAAGAAAGATCTTCATAGTAGGAATGTTCAACGGTTGCCAAGCCCACGAACATTCCATAGGAGAATTATTAGGGAGATCTTGGAAACCCCTCGAGGTTGGTCTCCTCCACCTTGTCAACAAAATCCTCGACACAAAAACTATGCTTACTTGAAAAATCCATGCCACTAACAATCAGATGCCCAACACCAGTTTTCGCACGCTTTTGATTCTCGCTTGGTGCCGCATACTTGTCAACCTCTTGAGCAGAAAAGGCGGTGGCCATCTACATAGAGTTAAGATGGAAACCCCTCACCAGCGACTGGCTCCTCAGGAACCCAGAAAGGAACCAACGCAGCTACCCCACAGAGAACAAAATTGCAAGAAAGACATCATACCCAATTCACCAAGAAGAACCCAAAGAGACAATCAAAGAAGACTGAGAGAGACGGCGAAGAGAATAAGTAAAGAAAACTGGAAAAACCCTAACCCTAGCCGTCAAGGCTCTCCTCACGTGAACGAGAGAGCGACCCCACTTGATATATAGTTATTTGACAAATCCTTTAGTCATCACTACAACAATATTGAGCAGTAATCACTAGTATTATAACTCATTAACATATAGGTTGCTATTGTCCCTTTACAAGGTTAAATAGTCAAATGTTACTATTCATTTCATGACCAACAAATTGAGATCATTTATTAGTTTGTTTTATTGTAACTAATGTGGTTTTGTTTTGTTTTTTTTTCAAATGCCTTCCATGTATTCATGGTCTTGTGTCTTTTTAGCCAAGATGATTCTTCAACCTCTTCGAGTTTGAATGGAAAGGGAATAAAGCATTCTCAAGAAAATGAGCTCTCTCCTTCAGTGCGTCTCCATAATCTAAGGTAGGAAAGAATTCTTCTTGGGGAGGTTCTCTAAGCTTGGCGAAGTACAAGTTTTAGAAGAGTGACGTTTTAGCTATTAGTTTGTTGCTAATTCTTCTATTTAAGAATTAGTTAAGAGATAATCAATCTGTAAAAGCTAAGAGTCTCACTTGTAATTTTAATATTGAAGAAAATCATAAAAAGCTTTGTTCGATTCTCTCTATTCGTTTACTTACTTATTTTTCGTTTGTATCTTTAGGCTCGTTTGGGAGTGCTTTTGGATTAGCGAAAATCGCTTCTAAATGGGTGAAAGCGCTTTTGTCTTTCAAAAATGGTGTAAACTAATATGAAGTCTTGGTGGTTAATGCTTCAACAATTTTGCAACTACATGAAATTGAGATATTGGGATAAACTAATATGAAATCTTTATTGAAATTGATCATTGTTTATCATATTTGCTCTCCTAGCCGTAATCAAGGGTTATATTCAAATAAGACATGTATTACTAGTAGATGTTTGGGTGTATTTGAATTTGGTCATCGAAATAAACAAAGTTACCCATTTGGTTGTACGTGAACAAACTGGATTTGCATTTTAAGCCAAATCCACTTGATATATAAGCTTTTGCATTGTGACTTTCACAACCTCTTCTAAATCATACAGCACTGAGGTTTGATCTGCTATGAGCCTCAGTGATGGGTCCATGGGTCCATATGAGCCTCTGCTATGATCTTCTAAATCATATAATATTAATTAAGTAGTATTTAAAATTATTTGTTTATTACTTTGATGTATTAATCTTTATAAACTAGCATAATTTAAAGACTTTAAGGTGCTTGAATCCATAGGGCAACACCCTTAAAAAAATGTCATTAAAATCTCGGAGAATTTAGTCTTTCAAAATCTTCTCAATTGAAAGGTCAATTGTTTCATAACCAGATTCTGCACCAAGTCACCTACCAAGTACGAGGGCATATAGAAATCAATGTAAAATTCTTTAATTAGCCATGCTGCCCTAAGGTTCGTTTTTTATACAGAGCAAGACAATGATGCGACCCTCCACCCCACCCTTTTTGCCTATAAAATACCCCACTACCACTCACGAATGTTGGTACGAAATATTTCATTAAGGCTTTGAAAATGGCTGAGCCAAAAGGCCGACCAGTTGGCGGCATAGAGACCAGCTGGTGTCGCGCCGTGCCTGGCGGCACCGGCATCACGGTGCTAGTCCTTCATGCCTCAAAACCCCCGGATGTGCTCAATCTCCAAACAGCCCTCCTGAAAGTCCAAAACTCCCACCCCATCCTCAACTCAAGGCTCCATACAAACCCCAAAACAAACACATTCTCCTTTGTCCCATCCCCCACTCCCTATGTCCAAATCAAATCGTTCAGCCTCTCTTCAACTTTGGAAATCCTTGAAACCCTCCACAACCCAATTAGCAACCCCCCAGTCTCTCCTTTTCACTTGATCCTTGAGCATGAGCTGAACCAAAACCCTTGGCAGTTGAAGAACACTACATGCACGACTGACCAAGACATGTTCTTTGCAAGCATCTATGCTCTGCCAAGCGCCACGTGGGTTGTGGCGCTGAGGCTTCATGTCTCAGCGTGTGACCGTACCACAGCGGTGTCTTTGCTGAGAGAGGTGGTGGGGTTGATGGGTGGTGGAGATGAAGGGGGTGAGGTGAATATAGACATTGGGAACAAAGGGGAGGTCAATTTGGGAATTGAGGATCTTATTCCTTGTGGGAAGGGTAAGAAGGCTATGTGGGTACGTGGAATGGACATGCTTAGTTACTCTGTTAATTCCCTGAGGCTGACTAATTTGAAATTCAACGACACCAAATCGACTAGGGTTTCTCAGGTGGTGAGGCTGCAGATGAATGAAGATGACACTCAGAGGGTTCTCAATGTAAGTTTTATTACATTAACCATTTAATTTTTGTACATATATATACCATGGATTAATTAATTAAATTTAATTTGTGGTATTAGCTTAATTAATTTAATTATTGTAGGGATGCAAGACAAGAGGGATTAAATTATGTGCAGCATTGGTGGCTGCTGGTTTGATGGCTGTGGACAAGTATCGTCTGGAAAATCAGAAGAAGTACGGTGTAGTGACACTCACTGATTGTCGATCCAATCTCCATCCAGCTCTTTCACATAAACATTTTGGTAATTCACAAACCTTGTTCACGTACCATTTTTGCATTCATGACTGTCCCTGTTCGGGACTAAAAATATCTTGTACGCGTGCTAGGGAAATTACATTATTGTATCACTTGTGTATACGTCTCTAATAGATGTAGGGTCATATGTGCACAACGTGATACAATAATAGATCTTCCTAACATTTTCGGTCTATAAATATTTTAGGACTATATGGCAACATAATTATCCTATATGGCATGGCATGATTGCATAAGTTGTGATCAGATTTGCTGTCTTGGAATATTATATCTGCTTTTCGTGTCTAATTATTATCTAATTCTATAAATTTTCACAAATTGAACATTATATAACTTCATGTAATTAAGGTGGTTATTAAAACATATAGTTGTCGTGTTAAAATCAAATTACTTATGTGACACCCGTGCGACTTGTTTATTATTCATGTTCATAGGAAAAATAATTCTCAAATTTGTAATTATAAAAGTTAGTCACATTATGATGTGTTATCTGTTATCTCTACGAATACGATGTGCCGTAGGTGTGGGCACATATTTACAAACATTAATTGTCTAATTATTACCAGATGGCATCTTTTTTCGACACATGTCCTGCTGACCCAGCCACACTCAGCCTAGAACAGTACAGTTTATTATATCATATTCTTCTGTTACACTCGTTAAGTCAGTGCACATGGCTGATGGATACTGAATATTGGAATATTACAATTTTGTGTTATTAATTCACGTGTTTTGGTTGGGGTTTCCTTGTGCGTGGCAAACAAAACATCAAGTTATACAACTTTATAATATGTGTTATTTTTTAATTAGACAGTGCTTGCAATCTAGTTTATTATAATAGCGAGGAATACATGAGTGAATTAGTTACACAAGGGACGTGGTTCTCACCCACAATTACTAACTATGCTAGTGGCTGACTAGTGATGCATGTGAAATGACTGAAATACCCTTCAACATTCAGGATCTTACCACTCTGCCATCCTCAACACCCATACAAAGGAGGAGAAACCCTATGGGAGCTGGCCAACAAAACCTACAAGGCCTTTGCAAGCTCTAAGAGGAACAACAAGCACTTCTCAAACATGGCTGACCTTAACTTTCTGATGTGCAAGGCCATCGACAACCCTACCTTGACCTCATCGTCTTCCTTAAGAACATCGTTCATGTCAGTGTTTGAGGACCCAGTGATTGATGATTCAAACGACAAGCAGAGAGAGCTGGGGCTGGAGGAATACATGGGGTGTGCTTCAGTGCATGGCATTGGCCCTTCCATTGCAATCTTCGACACGATCAGAGATGGACGGCTGGATTGTGTTTGTGTGTACCCAGCACCATTGCACTCGAGAGAGCAAACGCAAGGGTTGGTTGATGACATGAAGACAATTCTTGTGGGTTGTGATGGCAATGTAGAATGGAAGATCTAAAAAGTTGTTACGAAATTTGAGTAATAATGTGCATGGATCGAGTTCAATTTTCCTGTTACAATTTCCCATGTGCCCACCTCTTACTCATCTAACTTTTTGACATCTCTCCTTCCACTTAACTCTTAGTTAATAGTATTAAGTTTAATTCAATTAACAAATGAAAATTAATAATTGAAGGGAAAAAAATACCCATGCTCTTTCCCTTCCTACAAAATTTATGAGAAAGCGAAACAAAGCTTCAAGTTGAGAAACATTGCTGGGTTTTTTTTTTCCCATCAATTATTAGTTTTAATTTAATTAAAAGTTAACACTGTTAACTTAAGAGTACATATAATGAATTCATATTACAGTAATTTTGATTGAGATATGTCAATCCACTAGTCCACAGGACTTAGGAACGAAGAAAGGATTTGGTTGGTCTGACTCTGAGCTAGGTATTCATGGAGCATGGATCAATGGAGTATTCCAGCAAACAACGTTATTGGGTATTAGAAATCAAACTTGTGTCGTATCTAAAGGCCTTCAACTTCTTTCAGAAACTCTCAGTTTATGTGATTGTGTCACTGAAGGTAATTAGCGATGATGCGGAGAAGAAAGTAAAATTAGCAGAGGAGCAGATGAATGAAGAGGTAGTGGAGCAACAAATAAAAGAAGTTTTTCCTTCAATTATTAGTTTTCATTTTTTAATTTAATTAAACTTAACCTTGTTAACTTGAAGTTAAGTAGAGGGACAGGTGTCAAAAAGTTAGATGGGTAACAGGTGGGCACAGGAGAAATGGTAACAGGAAAATTGAACTCGTATGGATCATGTATCACTTTTATGCTTGCATAAATATAATTTGCATTATTGTGTCACGCATGATCAATCAATTAACTTATGCCAAAAGAAAAACAAGTTTTTACTTCCAAAATTGTCTTGTTCAATAACCAGTTAGATAGTGCTAAAGCCTACCAACTCGATCTCATCCAAAGTTTCTTTTTTTTTTTTTGGTTGGTTTATTTGACTCTTTCTACAATCATGTGCAATTGTCAAAAATCATTTGCAGGTAAAAAGATAAATTTTTTGTTTTTGTTGGTGAGAGGGATAAAGAAGAGAAAGAATGTACGAGAGAGAGAGAGAGAGAGAGAGAGAGAGAGAGAGAGACGGGGACTTTGTGATAAGTTATATAAGTTGAATATGGATGTATATGGCTGTGTGATTAATGGGGCCTTGAGATATCTTTAATGCACATCGGCAGACGCAGTTAATAAGGCAAATGATCACCTACCAAAACAGAGGGCTGGGTAGATGAAAACTTAATGCGAAATTCAACCATTTGTCTTAAAATCTTACCATCCCAAGTCTCCAAAATTTATACACAGAATGGCAATGTGACCTCCATCAATTTGTATATAAATCTCACCACAACTTACCATTATATTGCAACTACAGCTATTAGCTACCAAAAGCAAAAAAAGAAACAAAAAAACCTAGCTATACTTCTACTATTTCAGTAAGGCTTTGAAAATGGCTGATCAGCCAAGAGGTCGAGCAGTTGGTGCCATGGAGAACAGCTGGTGCCGCGCCGTGCCGGGCGGCACTGGCATAACTGTGCTGGGTTTTGACATCTCCCGCGCTCCGGATATGCTCAAATACCAAACTGCACTTCACAAGCTGCAAAATGCCCATCCAATCTTAAACTCCAGGCTCCATACCAACACCAAAACGAACACATTCTCCTTTGTCACATCCCCCACCCCTTTTGTCCAAATCAAAACATTCGACCTCTCATCAACTTTGGAAATCCTTGAAACCCTATCAAACCCAAGTAATAATTCAGTCTCTCCCTTCCACCTGATCCTTGAACATGAGCTAAACAAAAACACTTGGACTAAAACTACTTCTTCTTCTTCTTCTTCTTCTTCATCAAGTGCTAGCACAAATGATCAAGACATGTTCTTTGGAACAATCTACACCCTCCCCAATGCCAAGTGGGTGGCCGTGATGAGGCTACACGTGTCAGCTTGTGACCACACCACAGCTGAGACTATGCTGAGAGAGTTGCTGGGGTACTTGATTGGTGGTACTGATGATGGAGAGGGGAGAGGGATAGAGAAGGAAATTGGGAGTAAAGGGGAGGTCAATTCGGGAATTGAGGACCTTGTTCCTTCTAGGGTTGCTAAGAAGCCTTTTTGGGCTCGTGGAGTGGACATGCTTAGTTACTCTCTCAATTCCCTGAGGCTCACAAATTTGAAATTCAAAGACACCAAGTCAGCTAGATCTTCTCAGGTGGTAAGGTTTCAGATGAATCAAGAGGAAACTCAAAGGATTCTCGATGTAAGTTTAATATATGCATGCACCTCTAATATATATATATATAGTCAATAATTCGCTGATAACGAGTACCAATCTACAATACCTAATACATTGTCGATATTTCTGAAGAAAAATAATAATAACAAAATACAACGATGTATGAGAAGATAACCAAACTTTTTTCATTTGGATATATGGCACTTATTGAGAAATCTTGCTTGTCATCAATGAAATCAAAATTTGTAGGGTTGCAAGGCTAAAGGGATTAAATTATGTGGGGCATTGGTAGCTGCTGGATTGATGGCTGCAGATATGTGCTCTAAACATGATCAAAAGAAGAAGTATGGGGTACTAACACTCATTGATTGCCGCTCTAATTTTGATCCAGCTCTTTCAATTCACCATTTTGGTAAATTCACATCTCCCTTAGTGATTCTAATCCCATACAGTATAAATTTATCTATATAATAAATCAGAGCCATACATATATATGTCAAAGTGATATAGCAAAATCAAGGGGAAGAATCATCTAGTTTTGTAACAACTCATAAAAACAAGTTCAAGAGAGATAAATAATTAGAAAAAACAAATAAGAATGACATTTTATCAAATAATGTTAGGTAAACATAGTGTTTTGTTTACATGAAATGTTAGAAGTTTCTTTATCCCTGTTCTCATGCATGTTAAGAATCAATTAGCTGTCCTGTAGATGGGGTTAGATATATATATATATTTACACGAATTAATAAGTACTATTTTGCCAAGAGTACACACACAAACATTAAAGAGTGTATCAGATGGCATTTTGAAATAGAGTTATTTACAATAACATCTCTTTAGGTTTTCAGCTTTTTCACAAAACTTCCTGAGGTTTTAGAAATTATATGAATACCCTTTGAAGTTTCTAATTGTTTTCACAAAATTCATTTTTTGTTGATTGTTCGTCCAAAACTTAATGATTTCATTTTTTTTTTAATGTGTGCAAATGACAAAATCAGCCTCAAGGAACTTATGTGCAAATTAATATCAAAGACTAACCTTATCATTTGGAGAATTTTTTTATGTAAATTTATCAAGGACGAAAAAATCAATGAAAATAGATTTTTAAAAACAATTTAAAATTTCAAGAGATGTTCGTGTAATGTCCAAAACCTCAGGGAAATTTGTGAAAAAACTAAAAAACCTGAGCGAATGTTAGTTTAAATAACTCTTTGAAATGTCAATTTACACATGTCCGCCTCACCCAACCACTCAGCCTGGCTAGTACTGGTTCATTAAATTATGCAGCAGGAAACAAAGGCTCACCCAGATGGTACAAAACATGATGTCAAATCTAATGCATTAAAGGAGAAAAACTTTCTATGTGAAAATCATAATTGTGCATGTCAAAATTACTGAAATACCCTTTGACATTCAGGAAATTATCACTCCGTCATCCCCCACATCCACACCATCAAAGGAGGAGAAAACCTGTGGGAGCTTGCCAAGAAAACCTACACGGCCTTTGCAAGCTCTAAGAACAACGACAAACACTTCACAGATTTGTCTGCCCTGAGCTTCGTGATGTGCAAGGCGATTGAAAACCCGGCGTTGACCCCATCGTCTTCCTTGCGATCATCATTCATGACAGTGTTTGAAGACACCATCATTGATGATTACAATGACATGCAACGAGAGCTGGGAGTAGATGACTACATCGGCTGCGCTTCGGTGCACGGCATTGGCCCTTCCATTGCGATTTTCGACACGATAAGGAATGGAAGGCTGGATTGTGTTTGTGTGTATCCATCGCCATTGCACACAAGAGAGCAAATGCAGGAGCTGGTTGATAACATGAAGAAAATTCTAGTGGATTTGGTATAGATCAGTGTGTGACCAAGTTGATCAACAAAAATTTGGTATGATTTGGATCGGTCTCAATCGTACACCTTTATGGGGTTCAAGTTCATTTTTCAGTTGTGAGTTTAATTTTATAGAAAAGTTGATAATAGATCCAAATTTCCATTCAGAAGTTGGGTTTAATCCTCGGATTTAGTGACTTTAATACAAGTCCTTTGACTTTTGTGTCACATAAGATTACATTCCTTTGTATATATTTTCTGATGTAATCTTTTTATTTTTATCTTTTTAAAATCATTTTGTATTCCAATGTTGACCCTTATGCTTTGAATTGGGTAATAATAACTTAAGTGATAATCTGAAGTCATTTAACACGTTTGTCATTGATTAGAAAAAGAAAATATCCCAAAAATCATGTTGTTACATACAGTCATTAAATGCAAATGTAATTGCTACAAATATATTACATAAATCATTACTGGACAAATACATTTACTACAAACACATAAACGTTTGGCATGTATAGTTGGACATTCTACCTGTCCCACAGACTTAGTTTGGTTCATATTCTTTTTCACTACAACAGCAAGTAATCTTGAAAAATAAACCTTATAACCCTAAGGTACAGGTACATCAACCAATACTAATAACTTTGTTGTGTGTTTCTTTAAGTGTTTAGGGATCACATTTATGTTAACTTGAGTTTTTCGGGTTTTCTACTCTCCCCGTGATGAGATTGTGAGCTTAATCAAGGAAGATCCGGCTGGAGTTTGGTTCATGCTGAATTATTTTGGGCTTTGAGAGGTCCATACAACGGAAAAGAAAAGGTACAATTGTTAGATGTAAATAAATCAAATTAGAAACTATAAATATATTCCAAATTCAAATAAAATGATAAACTTGATTCCAAATTAATCAATGTATGCCATATCTTTGTAAAGTCTAAAAACCAACAGTTTTACCCTTTGAACGAAATTAGAAAAGGGAAAAAAGAACGAAAAAAAAGAAGAAATATGACACCAAATAAACTATTAAGTGAACTCAATATTGTAATAGCTAGCACACATGTGATGAGAGAAATAGGGAGTCCTAGCTCTTTGTCAACATTATGATTCGGCTACTTAATACAAAGTCATTCCGTATTAAATTTAGAGATTTTTGTAGAAATGTCACCTGAATTTATACCTCAATTTCAATTTGTCACTTTAAAGAAAAATTAAAAAAAATGGCACCTGAATTTTTCACAATCCATGATTTGTTATCTAACTTTAACACCATCCAATTTTTATCTATTTTAAGGATGTTTTAGTCTTTCTATATTCAAGGGTATTTTAAAAAATGGAAAAATCATTATTAAAAAAAAAGTGTACATCTTTTAAACAATAAAAATTGAAATAAATAAATAAATCTCAACTTCCCCCATCCCTATGCGCCATCGACAGCTCCAACCAACCCCGCCCACCTTCAAATCCATTCATCCTTCCCTCTTCACAGCCCCTTCCTCCATTCCCCCTTCCCTCTTCCCTCTTCACCTTCCTCCTTTTCTCTCTACAATGGAACACCAATCCTCCACACACAAATTCCCTCATCCTACCTTTTTCTTCTTTTTTTTCTTTCTTTTTGGTATTTTTCCATTTGAATATTGAAAATTTATGGAAGGACAACTACCAAACCAACAATTCGCTAGCCTACATAACAAATGGTGACAAAGCAAACTTTAGATCTTTCAACATAAACACAGTGGCATAAGTTAATGAAACCATGAAGACAATAAAGGGGTTGGATTTTTGGTGGGAAGCTTAAGTAGTTTTAAATAAGGTATATGAAAATTTCAGACATGCTCAATGAATACCATAATATTTTTTAATACATACTCAGAGAGAGAAAGAGAGAGAGAGAGAGAGAGAGGGGTGAGGGGGGTCCTATGCGATATGTTTTGGTGGTGAGTGGGGGAGAGAAGGAGAAGTACGTCTCTTTTTTCTCTATTTTTTTTCGTTGAAAATAGAAAGACTAAAATACTTTTAAAAATGGATGAAAAATTGGATGGTGTTAAAGTTAGATGACAAATCATGAATTCTGAAAAAAATAAATAAAAAATAAAATTTACGTTTCTCTTAAATTTTTCTTTAAGGTGACAAATTGAAAATGAAGTATAAGGACATTTCTACACAAATATACAAGAATAATTAAAAATTTATAGAAAGCGTGACCCATTAGCTAAACAGTAAAACACGTGTGGCCAAAAATAATATACAAACCTTAATCAGTCTTCTTCCTATTATCTAACATTTTCAAAGCAAACTTCTTTATCTTTCTCTCACACTCCAACATGTCGGAGTGGGGTCATCAAAACCTCAACCCAGAAGCAATGCCGGAGCCCAAGACCCGACCCGTGGGCGGAACCGAGTACAGCTGGTGCAAAGCCGTCCCCTCTGGCACCGGCATAACAGTTCTAGCCCTCCTCCTCTCCAAACCCCCAAACTTCTCAATTCTCCAAACTGCCCTCCATAACCTCCAAAATTCCCATCCCGTCCTCCGCTCCAAACACCTCTTCGATCCCACCACAAACACCTTTTCCTTCGTCACACCCCCAACTCCCCACCTCCAAATCCAACCGTTCGATCTCCCATCGACGGCTCTCATTCTCCAAAACCAAAGCCAGCCCAACATCCCCGCGTTCCATCTAATCCTCGAGCACGAGCTCAACATTAACACGTGGCGCAATCCCAACCCTTCGTTGGACGCTGACACGGACGTGCTATTTGCGAGTGTGTACACTATAAGCGAGTCCCGGTGGGCCCTGGCGCTCCGCGTGCACACGTCAGCGTGCGACCGCGCTGCGGCCGTGGCGCTGCTGAGGGCGCTGTTGGCAGAGATGAAGTCGAAAGTGGGAGGAGGGGCAGAGAGGGAAGTAAAGGGAAATGGGGAGGTCAGTTTGGGAATTGAGGATTTGATCCCAAACGGGAAGGCGAACAAGCCGTTTTGGGCGCGTGGCGTGGACGTGCTTGGGTACTCTTTGAATTCGCTGAGGCTGTCGAATCTGGATTTCAAAGACGCGAGCTCGGCGAGGTTTTCTCAGGTGGTGAAATTACAGATAAACCCACATGACTGCCAGAGGCTTCTTGCTGTAAGTTAATTTCCAGTGTCTATTATTATTATTTTTCTTTCTAAAGATAGTCAATATTTGACTGTACGCCTGCATGTCTAATGTTTAAATGCCACTTGCACAATAGTTTTATTAGATTTTTGGCAAAAATCACCTTTAGTTTATGTAGTTTGTCAATTTTATCATTTTTGCCATCGTAATTTTAATTTTGTTAATTTTATCTTTATAATTTTAAATACGAGCAATTTAAGGACAAATTAAATTCTGTGTCAAATCTCTTACTAAAAAATTTAACGGAATTCAAAGGAATTTGACACAATTTGTAACTTGTACTTTAATTGCTAGGATTTAATTACATGGATAAAATTCACAAAATTAAAACTGCATAGACTATAATAATAAAATCGACAAACTATAAGAATAAAAAAAGACTTATTTTTCTTCCACTTCTTATTCTATAAAAATGATACTCTAAACAACTTTAATTTACAAATAAATTGGTTTTTAGGTATACTACTAGACCATACTCTAGTACCACTATAATCTATCTATATATATAAAGCAAAAGATAGAGAATAGTGAAACATTCAAAATACCAAAAAATGCCCTTGATATAGCAAACATTAAGAATTGAAATTATTAATTAAATGAGGATAATATGGTAAATTCACACTTTTTCATATTTAAAAAATTAAAATTAAAAGAAAAATCAGATAATGGATCCTATTTTTATGGAACACAACTACCTATTATCTTTTTTAATTCTAAAATAAAATAATGAAATGAAAATGATCCGAAATGGGCTCCATATTGTGGCATCCAGAATGGGGATGATGTGGGCGCGCTCTGTGGGCTTTGCGTTTCGAATAAGACCAAGTTGAGTCTGGTAGTTAGGTTTGGTCCACTATCTCATCATCCATTGTCGTTTCTAAAAGGTTGCAGTTCTAGGGATGGGAGTCATGGGCTGGATGGTTTGTCATTTTGCGTGGACAGACATCCGTGGGCTTATCACCTTTCTTGTAACTTATTGTTTTATTTTTTTACCCGCGGAGAGGGAGATTGAACTTGGAACCTCTTATAACGTTGAGATCGTAACTAGCATCACTAGACTCGGAGCTAATTGGTCACCTAGCAAGTTGTGTTCAAGTCATGTTACTTGATATTTGGTGAAGTACTAATCAATCTTAACCAGACGCATTTCGTTAATCTTAACATGTTCGAGTTGACACAAAACTTATACATTGTAAACTTAAGACTAGAATGCTAGCAAGACCATGGGGAAAAAGAAAAAACCCTCTACTTGTGGTAGACATACCTCGAAATGTTTATTATTTGTGTTAGCAAGTCGTGTCATTTTTTTAGGTTCATGTGACCCAAATCTGTATATTTCATGTCGGTTTGAAGTTGTGTACTCGTGTGATGTCAAGCTTTGTCACTAATGGTGTTGATAGCTTAGTTCTTGGAGTCTATGCCTACAAGTGGTTGTTTATGGATTCAACAAAGACTTTAGCTAGCCATGACTCTATGAGGCTTCCTTCTTTTCTTTGGCTGCCAATTTGTGAGAGACATTGCAGTGCATCAATAATACAGTTATGACTTTTGACCAGCACAAGCTGACATTTTCATTTTTCTCTAAATGAAGACAATCATATATGAAGCTGGTTAAATTTGACCATGCCCCAGGACTTGGTCACTTTAATGGTGATTGAACTTTTCAGGGTTGCAAATCTAGAGAAATAAAATTATCTGGAGCCTTGGCGGCTGCTGGATTGATTGCTGCGCATGCCTCTAAGCACCTCCCGGATCATCAATGGGAGAAATATGCTGTTGTAACTCTCCTTGACTGCCGCTCCATTCTTGAACCACCCCTCAGTTCCAATAATCTTGGTAAGCCCTTGCAAATGATTTTTCAAACTGAATTTTTGAAAGTCAGCTCTAAAAAATGTCAACTACCGATGGCGATGGCGGAGAAAAAGTTGAGTATATTTAAAGTCAATAGTCATCAATGAGAATACAGTGGCAATTATTTGAATGCTGATGAAATAAAATTGATATTCATCCCTAAATGATTCAGGGTTTTATCATTCTGCCATCATGAATACGCATGACATAAATGGAGGAAACACACTGTGGGAGCTGGCAAAGAGATGCTACGTTGCCTTTGCAAATGCCAAGAACTCAAACAAGCATTTCACAGATATGTCAGACCTCAACTTCCTCATGTGCAAGGCTATTGAAAACCCTGGCTTGACCCCGTCATCATCGATGAGAACTGCGTTTATCTCAGTGTTCGAGGACCCTGTGATTGATGATTCTAGTGAGGTGCACCAAGAGCTTGGAGTGGAGGACTACGAGGGCTGCGCTTCAGTCCATGGCGTTGGCCCCTCTATAGCCATTTTTGACACCATACGTGATGGAGCGTTGAATTGCTCATGTGTTTATCCATCGCCATTGCATTCGAGGGAACAAATGCAGGACTTGATGGATCGTATGAAGAGCATTCTTGTAGATGGTTGTGATGATGTTGAGAGTGAGAGCTAGATATGGTTGTATGAGCTGCTTAATGATGGATTTCAATCATTCATTGTGGTGCAGCACTAAGTTACTTCCACTCAAATAATCAAAGGGAGTTTCACTAAAATACCCAAAATGGGGGCTGAAATTATAAAAATACCCAACACCCAAAACACTTTATAAACATACCCAAAACTCATCATTACACACACTCAAAACCCATTTATAAACATACCTAAATGAACGCATGCTCGTGGGCCTGGGCTACAAAACTTTGGACGAAAAGAAGGCAGGCCCATCTACCTCCGTTAAAGCCCAGCCCTGAAATGCACTGTTCTCTTTCTCCCCAGGAAGGAATTTTCATGGTTTGTTGTAGTATGAGAGAATGTGCAATAAATTCGACTACAAAATTTGTTTACTATAGAGATGCCAAACTCTATAAATTGCTCCTTTATTCAGAATCTCTGCAAGTATCAAAAGTAGCTATATGGAATGTTCCTATTTCTTCAGCATTGGGCTATCTCCATACCATTGTGTTTAAAAACTATGTGCCAAAGCAGGAAAGTTCCCTTTTGCAAAATTGGAAGCCATGCTACTTCCTTGTGCATTATAAACATTATTTTCTGCAGAGTCAATTATGCCTTGAATTCTAATATCCAAAAAAGATATATCCCTTGAATTCCATATGTAATATTGACTATTAGCGAACGGGATCTAGCCTTGACTTGCAGACAAGAGGTTGAATCTCCACGGCATCATAGTTGTGTGTGTGTGTGAGAAATCCCCCTATTATTATAGTTTAGACTATCACTTGTACTAAAAAAACAAAAAAAAATAGACCATTAAAGGTCCTTATTTTCTGCAGACAATTATGCCTTGAATTTCAAAGCAAACATCCTTATTTTCCCAAATAACACCTGCATTGATCTACATCTCCTGGAAGGGACAGCAATAACACTCCTAAGCATGCTGCTATTTTCTGTTACACCATAGGCAAGCAAAGGTATCTTCAGGGGCATGATTTTGAAGGTCCATCTGCAGAAGTTGAACTAAGAAGTTCCATATATTGTTATTGCAACTGAAAGGGATTGGAGAACATAATAATATATAATATATGCATTTGGAAAGTTACCCAAATATTTTATAGCCTATAGGGTATATGTTATTATATCTCTCTTTTCTTGGGAATATTGGAAACCAGAGAATCAAAATGACCAAAACTAGCTCCAGCCCTTTTGAAGAGCTGAAGTATTTTTATATGTATATGAACATATTCTAGTACATACATGGACTTGCTAATCTAACCATTTCCACTAATAAAAAAGAAAAAAGCCTCTAACATATCTTAATTTACTCAGGAAATAAACTCCTCAACAAGTTCTCCAAAATCAAACTTCCCATTGCTGCATTCCACAGCATTCACAACCTCTTCAAAAGCAGACACACTGCAGGGAACCACAAGTCCATTTCTCTGCTCAAATCCATACTCGTTGTAAGCCTTCTCCAACAGCATCTTGAAGAGTGGATGAGAGAGAAAGCTTGTCCTCACCAGAAACCTCTGGCGCTCTTCTCCAACATACAAGGCCAAAAACCCAGTTGGGGGTTTGGTTGAAGGAGTCCCTCCTTGCTCTGCTGCTGCTGACTCTCTTAGCAAACATTCATGGTGTGATGGCTCATTAGCACCACCCATAACCTTCACTTTCTTGGCTAGTTTTTTGAAGCTTACCATCTTCTTTCCCAGCATTTTTGTCTGGTTTTTTAGAGAGAGAGAGAGAGAGAGAGAGAGAGAGAGAGAGAGGAGGAGAGGAGAGGAGAGGGGAGGTGGGTGAGATTGAAGTTGGGAGCGGAGATTGGCTAAGGAGCAAGTGGCTTCATGATTTTGGTTAGTGGAGATTTGCAAAATGATGGTGGGGGAGGGGATTTTATTTGTGATATATGGAGTGGGGGGAATGTCTCAGAAAGGGTCTTGTTTGACTTTTCGAATTGTTATTCTATGATCATAATGACTTTTCTTGTCCCCGTTTGTTTCTGACTTCTTAACAGTTTATAGCAATTAATCTCAAGTTTGTTAAATATATATATATATATATATAAGACTTTTGACTTTTATTTTTTTCAATGTAACACTTATTTTCCACGATTTTCATCATAAATAAGTTTCAAGTGAAATAAATTTTACCGATAACTTTTAACAATTCACATTCGAAATCTACTCTGAATGTAACATCATAAGTTGGAGCTTAAGCATTTTCTTAGGCATTTCATAATACATACTAGAATTTTGAAGCTGGTACACATGTGAGTCAACCAAATGAATAAAAGATAATAAAATGATGGTAAAGAGAAAACAAAAGTGTAATTATTGGGCATGTAAATGTTGGAGGTCCATAAACAATGATGGAATCCCACTAACTATACTTTAAAATGCTTAACTGCTATTGAATCATTTGTCAGTTTGAATCAAATGCCAACCACAATTTGTTTTTCTGGTAAATAATACCAACCACATTTTATCATTGCAGGTTTATAGTGCTTTGATTAACTTTATGGGGAGTGGAATCTCAATTCATTCGCTGGAAAGTGAAGAAGACATGGTTGGTTTGTTATTATCCTTCCATACAGGAATCAACCACCATAGTTTAATGGCCTGCCTGATCAAACTCATATAAACAATGTATGTATATATGTCAAAACATAGAGAATATTGATAGGAGAGAGTGGAAAGTGTAGAGAGAATGAGAGTTGTAGAATATTTTCTGATTTTCAATATATCCTATGCACCCACCAAACACACACACTTCCCCTCCTAGTCTCATTCCATTGGATAGTAAGTGTTTTTCTTCTTTCAATTGTCTACTTATAGATGATTCTCAATGATTAATCGAGATATCGAAACTCCCTCTTCTAAAGTAACAAAAGAAGAATAAAATTCTTGTCATGAATGCACAGATGGGTTATTTATCGGTAAAGTTATAACTTCTTATTATGCATATTCAAAAACATACGAATATTGCGTACTAACTACTATGCCTACTTCTCAACCACTGATTGATACAAATTCATTTTAAAAGAGTAGGAGTTAAAAGTCTCGTCATGATTATGAAGAGAAGTACTCTACCGCTAAAACTGTAAATTCCTATGTTTTCTCAAAACAAAAAAGAGTGGTTGATGAGAAGTCTTTGCATTACTAATGGTGGATAGGGACCTCTAGCTCTATGGAAGATCAATAAATCAGCTAGAGGGAGATACCCTAAACCATTATTGGCAATTACAATAGTCAAATATGATTGGAACGTGTGAGGAGCTAAGAAGAATAAACAAACCCTTTAACATGCAACGCAGAAAAAGAAAGAAAGCATGGGCGGCATGGCACTTGTCTCTAAGAAAACAAAAGCATAGTTGACATGAAAAGTAAGCCATTCACTAGGAGACACGAAATTAGGCAAGTTAACAAGAAGACACGAAATTAGGCCTTATGGTGGGCGGATCATAGTGGATAAAATCATTTTGACCAGGCCAAGAAGAGTCATACGTCAAGACTTGTTCTTGTTTACGGGCCATGATCCATTTGTACCCTTAATCTGTACTGCATAAACATAAAATGTTTTTTTTTAATTTTCTGGTTGGAAAATTAAAATAAAAAGTTTTTTGTTGGGGTCAAAGGTTTTTTATTTTATTTTAAATTTTTGATTATTTATTTTATTTTGTCTTTTGGAGATGGTTGGCGCTTTGCTTCAAACCCAAGTCTTCTTATAGTACAAGTAGGTAGGCATATGGGAGATCTAGCTTTGTCAGTGTCTCTCCCATGACCTCAAAATGGGATCTTGTTTTCCCTTTTCTCTCTTTTTATTTCTTTTGCATTCACACTGAAAATAATGTTGCCAACTTGGTGGGTTTACAATTCTTCATTTAATTCTCAATCGAAAAATGATTTGCCTTTGGTGATGCCCTCTGTTTAGTTTGAAATAATTTGTCAGATCATTAAAAAGTATATGTGAAATAACTTAGAGCATCTGCAATTATTCCCTAAATCATCTCCTTAAATAAAATTTAGGGAGGAAGTGAGAAAACCCTCCTCCACCTATGCTCCATATCCTAAAATTGGGAGACCTCTAGGAGCTCCTAAATCCGAGAAGAGAGAATGAACACCTAGTGGCTTCCTATAATTTAATAAATATTTTAAACCGTTAGTGAATATAGCCTATTATATATATATATATATATATATACAGTTATTCT